GAAAATAAAAATTGGGTTTTTCTGAGAAAATTGGTTTGTCTTTTATCCTTTATGAAAATTCAGCCAAAAGATGCAAAGATTAATAATCAGAAAGGTTTTGATCTTAATGAAGTTTGTACATTTGATTTATTTTTAAAGAAAAAAAAAACATTAGTCTAAAGCACATATATTACTCCACCATATAACATCAATATTTAGCAATACATTTTGTTTCTAGTATGATTGTGATATAAAAGTATTGACATAGCAATTTAAAACATTTTAAATTGGAGCCTTGAAACTGCATATGGACATACCTGACTATTGTCTAAGTGACTTTAAGCATACTGATTTATACCTTGAAATAAAATTCTGAAGTCGTAGACTAGTTTTGTGGAAGGAGCCTGTTTGCCAGTACTCAAGAAGTGGGATCACTGAAAGGTTAACTGCAAGTCACTTGAAATTGTTACTTCTGATCTCAGATTTCCAGTTGGTTGGAGAAATAATTCTCAAGTTGGAGTTAACAATAACCTTCAAAAGAAGCAGGTACATATGCTTGTCTAAGGGTCATAATTTCTTTTTTTCTTTTATCCTCAAAGGGTATTGATAAAATTGAATTTCTGACTTGTTCTGTTATAAGGGAAGTCACTTTAATGTACTCTTGACTTGGTCAGTTGGGAATAGCTTTCCTACACGGTGACCAACTTGGTAATAATCATGGTTTGGTTAATAACTATAATCAATAGCGAGTTGAAGCAGTCTATATTAATTACTGTTTGGTGATTGATTTTTGGTTGGCTGTGGCCAATGGAAAAAATTTGTGATAATGTTAATTTGGGTTGGAGTTCAATAGAAGTAATCTTTAAAGAACAGGAGAAAACCAACTTCAGAATTGCAGTAACAACTTGAATGACTAAATTTGATTTGTTGATGCCTGGAAAAATCCAGTTCAAACAATTACTGAGTTGTCCAGTATTAAAATTGTTCATGTGGCATCCAAATTCTTATGGTGTTCCAAAAGATGAACCTATTCAACTGGACTCTTATGTCCTGTACCACCAATTATTGATATTTCATAACCAGTAGTATTCATATAACTGAATTATATGGATAAATTCTTACAGTACATGAGCAAGTTGCAGTTGTGTGAAGATAGGGTTATATCAATCTCAGCAGAAAAGCCCAATTGCCTCGGGAGTTTGACTTTAACATATACCTGAGGGGGATGCAGTTCTCAGCTGTTGAGTAAGCTATAATACTATTTGCATACAGATTATTCATTACAAGCTGTTTTTTCTTATATCAGTCATTTCTGCCATGCGTGATACATGCTTAGGTGACTGACGAGGTAGATTTTTTTTCTCTTAGTAATTTGCCATTTATTTCTGTGGTAGACCAGTTGCCATTATGACTATAGAACCCAGTCTGTCTTGCTATTTACCCATAGCTAGGAGAAGAGGATTCATACCTTTCCCAAGGGTATTGCATATAAGTGAATGTAATGGATTCAACTGGAATTTGATAGTGTGTAATGTGTTTTTTTTTTTTTTTTTTTTTTTTTTTTCCCTAGTTTGTTCTTGAGAAAGATAGTGAAGTAATTTACTGTTGTCCAACCAAGGCTTGGATGCCCAGTCTGCACAGCTATTTAACCCCTAGTTGCAGAATAAAAAAATAGGATTCATTGCAATAACAAGCCATCATCTCTATTTGACAAAACCAAATTTGCATTCTTCAGTGATTTTTTTTTTTTTTTTTTTTCAATGTGGGTCTGGATTTGATTTCAATAAAATAGGTGAGCTTTAGGATTATATTTTTTATTTTTCCCGTCAAATAAGTAATATCAATAAGTCAAATAATTTAGAAATTATTTAAATAACATTGAATTTTTGGTTTTATAAATTAGAAACTTTTTTTTCTTCAGAAAGACTTTGATTCTTTTTTTTCTTATGCATTTAATTGAGTTAAGTTACAATATGACATTAACAAAAATGTTATTTTAGTTTATGAAAGCATTAATTTCTATTTATGCTTATGTGGGCCTGAAATCTTTTGACAGCAAAATGGGACAGGTTGACAAATTCTGTTCTAGACTATTTCTTGCGGTGGGGTCATGAATCTAACTCATTGCATTCTGTGAAAATGCTCATTATGGGGTCATAAATGTGGTATTCAGAAAATAAATGAATTACATTAGACAATTTAAATTCTAATCATTCATTTTAAGTTATATTTTCACTCTCCCATCAACTCATTCTTTCAAAAAATTAAAATGTTAGTTATTTAGAAAACTTGTATTTTAATTGTCATTAAACCTCAGACCTTTGACAAAATATGCTGCAAGTATCTGATGGAACTGCTTAGCAACCTCAGGGAAAGATATCAGAATAATCAAGAACCTATACTGGCAGCAAACACCATGTATGCGCATAAGGAATGAGTTCAGAGTATATACAAAAATAGAAAAGGATGTAAGGCAAGGATATGTCTTCTCACCCAACCTGTTCATTTTAATGCAAAGCAATTCTGAGAGAATTGGAAACCCTACTGAGTTTTTCATTAATGGCCACAATCTTAACATAAGCAGATGACAGTACTGATAGTAGACAGAAAAGAAATTGCAAAATCTACAGAAAGTAGCGATGGAGAGTGAGAAGAAAGGATTAAGCATAAGAAGACAGAATGCATGGTCATCAGTAAGAGGATGTGCCCAAAATGCAATTTGAAGGCCAGGAACGTTAGAATCAAGCAGATGTAGAAATTTAAATATCTGGGAAGTGTCTTGACAGTGGATGGTAAGTGTGATACTGAGATCCATAGACGTATTGAGATAGCCAAAGACACATTCCAAGAGCTGGGCAGAGTACTGAGACAGGAGGATTTCTTTGGTAACAATGTGACATCTGCCTTCCTTTACAACAGCAAATGTTGGACGATTTCCTCAAAGATGAAGAGACTCTAGGTGATATGTTTTTCTACAGAAGGATGCTAAGGATATCATGGACCAAGCATGTGAGCAACGATGAGATCGTAGAGAAGTTGCAAACAAGGAGGAGGCTTATACTTAACAACAGGAAGAGGCAGCTGAACTTTCTGGGACACGTAATGAGGAAGGAGGGCCTGGAGAATCTGATACTCACAGGTCAAATAGAGGTAAAGAGACAAGGGAAAACAACATGTGACATACCTGGCGGACTTAAGCAAGTGGATGACAGAATGTTGTCGGGTGAAAGAAGCAGAGGGAAGGAACTTGTGGAGAGCCATGATCGCCTACGTCCTGAAAAAAAAAATTAATAAAAAAAAGAAACTTCAGGGAATTTTGCTTTACTTAAGAAAAGGAAAACTTCTGTAATTAACATTTAGTCGGTGTTGAGTCATTTCCCTTGGGAAGATATTTTGTGGTCAACTTATTTAAAAATTAATCAGAAACCAGCATCCTGACATGGAATAACTTTATTTTTCAGGTTAATTTTAATTATTTTTTAAACATCGCGCTACGAAGTGATAAACATACAGATTTTTTTTTTTTTTTAAAGGGCCTTGGTTACCTTAATTTCTGACTGTTGGAAAGTACTAGGAAACACCAAATGGATGATTTTTTTCCCTCCGAAATGTAAGCAAAAAATAGCTACTGAGGTAGAATTACTCACTGTGTATTTTTATTTTGTCCTTTGACTCACAGGCTACGGCACGAAAAGAAAACTTTTTAATTGTTTTTAAGTAAAAGATAAGCCTTACTTTTAGAAAATCAAATTTACTAATAGACTCAAAAACACATCTCTAGGAAAAATAAGTGGATTTTAAAGAGAATTTTAAATTTATTGTTTACATTTTTCGTAAGCAATGACTGCTCGATGAATGACGAAAAAAAAGTAGCAATGAAAAGTTAAAAATCCCTAAAAAGTTTATTTATGGAATTTTTTTTTCTAATTCTGATTAACTTTTTAGCCTAGGCCATTACTTTTCAAATAGGACCGAAAGTTAGGTCCAAAGTAGCGAGGCATTTTAAAATTATTAAAATGTGTTTTTCGGCGTTTTTTTTTTTTTTTTTTTTCTCCTGTTGTTTGTTTCAAGTCCGTTGTTAGAAATTACATTAGGTCTTCTGAAAAGTTTCCCAAATACGCGTAGAATGCTCACTGTCTCAGTTTTCGGAGTAAATGGTACAAGCGAATATATTTGAAAGATGGATCCAAAAAACCCAAAACAGGTTGACACAAGTAGTAGTAGTAGTAGTAGTAGTATATTAATTCTTCCTGGTGTTGTTGTTGTGTGCGTGATTTTTTTTTAAGGTAATCCAAAGTGCATATTTCTTATTGTGGTCGTATTAAAGGGCTAAAGAACACACTTCTTAATTTAAGTCAATCAACGAGAGATAAATTATAAATACTAACAAAGGATGAAAGTTGACTAAAAAAAGTCCCCCAAAAAAATTATTTAAAGAAGTGAAGTGATATCAAAATGAATAATTAAAAGATGAAGGAAAAACAACATGCGTGAAAGAAAGTAAGGTTGACGGGGGAGAGAAATCATTGCTTATAATTACTATAATTTGCAAGGTCAGCAAAAAAGTGTTTGAAAGAATACCACAAAGACATTCTTTTTTACTAATAAGTCGGCAATACCAAATAAAACTGATTCGGTGTCGACTGTACTTATGTATACTCCCAACCGAGGCCCGAATACACTTAGCACAAGATTAAAAGTATTGAAAGACGGTAGGTTAATTAATAATACACTTGTACATCTTTTACTAGATGTAATTGCAAAGCATTTATCAGATAATATATAAACATTTTTTTAAATGTTTTATTGATGATATCGGAGATATGCGATTTCCACTCACACCGTTTTGTCTTTTAATTGTTGAGTGTCGGCCTCATTTTCATTCGTCGTCTCGACTGAGACAAAAGTGAAAGTAGAATTTCTATTAGTTTCTTTCTATTTTTGCGTTTGTTACCATAAAAACTAGCCAGATGCGTGAGGTGATGGCTTTGACGAGGTTCCAGCGGTATTTGGTGGGACTTATGCTTTTCAGTGGGACCCTGTTTCCAGTATTGCTCAAGTGAGTATTTTTCCGCTACTTAGTTTTATTTATTTATCTACACCTTTACTTTCACACTTAAATTCTCTTTCCGTCGTGTGCTTTTCTCTTGTCTTTCTTCATTCGGAACGGCATGCGTTCTCTGTCGTCGTAATTTTATCAAGCTTTAATTGAAAAATCATTAAAAAAACGCTTTTTGAAAATAGAGTTGACAATTAAAGTGACTTGAAACTTATTTTTTTTTTTATAACAATTTGACTTAAATAGCATTTAATAGCTAGTTAGTTGTATTATTGTAGTAGTGCTGAAAAATCGGTGCCTGCTACTAACTAAAAGCAGGTGTCCACACCTCGAAGCGTCATTCAGTCAGCCAACGAATACCAAGTGGTTGGTACATTGATGAATTTTATTTAATTGTAGCGTCTTCACTCCGTTTATTTCTCTATTAAATAAGTAGTTTGGCAATCCGTTGTTATTCAATTTTTCTTTTTTAATAGATTCAATCAAATAGGTAGCTAATTACCTTCTTGACAGTTACGTTAGAACGGAACGCATTTTTCTTCCACTAAAAATGGTGTTGTTGAATTTGGAGTCTACATAAAAATCTAATTTCCTACTACGTACGTCATTTTTTCCCTGACTTGATAAAAAAAATAAAAAAAACACTAAAAAGAAATAAAAAAAAACGCTCGTTATCTTGTCCATCAGAATATTAACTCGGAACAATTATATTTTGCAGAAAATTGCGTTAAAAAGAAGTTATTTAATTTTAAAATGATCTATTAAAAAAATATAATAATTCAAGTTAACGGAAGTAAATGGTAAAAAAATGGAATAAAATCTGCATGCTATCGAAAGTTTAAATAATTCACTGAATTTTTAAACTTTCGATTTTTTTTTCATCTGAATAATTCAGATATTTTAAACTTTTACTGCACACTTGATGTCGATGAAAAAATCAAGGAATAAAAATTTAAAAGTATTTTTTCAAATGAAGAACTGTTCAGAAGAACTAATAACATTTCGTTTTTTTGTGTAGTGATAATTAAAAAAAAAATCCTAAGAATTATCCAGAATTATCCGCGGTAATATTACATAAAAAAATATTTTATTTTAAAATTGATAATTTTGTTTTTTGGTTTATTGTTTTTGAGAACAAAACTGCTTTCTTCTGGAAATTCATTGAGTTTTGTTTTTACGATCTCGAAAAAAGAAGACATTTTTTTTGTGTTTTTGTGTCTGTCATTGGAAGAAAGAGACTTTTCTTTTACAATAGTCGCAATAAAGTTTAAGAAACGAAGTTTTTGGTCACTAAAAGGAAAAATGACACCTTCAAACCGAAAGAAAAAGACGCAGTCTCGTGTCTATCGCTTTGAAGATAAAGAGGAAAAATAATACTATTCTACATTGTAATTGTAAAAATGTAATATTTTCATTTTTCAAAGTTTATTTTTTTGTATGCAACGTTTTCTGACTAATTTGTCTTTCGGAACAAAATTAAACATTTTTAAAAAAAGAAAATAATCAATCGCAGTATAAGTCAAGTGAAATGAGCCAATCGATAAGTAAAAGTTCGATTTTCAAAAGAAATATTGTAAGTGATGAATGAGATGATCGACCTCTACTAGTGTCTTGTAGTTTTTGAATAATGCGCACCTGTTCATTGTCTGCTACATTTTTATTTTACTCATACTGCAGTGCGTGCGTGATTACAAATCATTTGTTAGAATGAACAGACAAATTTTAAACTTTTTATTTCCCTCTTTTCCTAAATCATTAATCATCTGTTGAAATCAATGACAATGATAAAAATCGATATTATGTCAGCTTAACTTTTATTAAAAATATGTAATTTATTGATTTTTTTCTTCCCAAAAAGTATTTTTATTTTTTTCGTTTTTTTAATTCACATTCTGCTTGTTAAATTTCTTACAGTGAGTAACGTAATTATTCGGATTTTGTTGTAATTTGCTAAAAAAATCAAGTGTTATCTCTCTTTAATTTTTGTTATTAGTTTTCTAATATTTAGGTTTTTAAAATGTCTATTCAAATTAAAAATGGGGTTTACAAATTTTAAAGAGACATGTAAAAAAAAAAAAGAAAGAAAAAAAGCCATCCAACTCAATTAACGTACCCACACGATCTCAAGGCGTGAAACAGTCAATCACCAAGTAGTGTTGATTTATGTTCATCATACTGGTTATACGCGCTTTTCACTCATTGCTAATTTTAAACAATAAAATATAGTAAACTACGGGGAAAAACATCTAAATTAAGAAGATCAGAAATTTGCGGACGTAGTAGAAAAGAGATCACGAGGTAGGGAAAGAATTTTCAACCAATCGCTGTTGGTTCCGTGGAGGCTTGAACAGTTTTCGTTTATATCCTCCATGTACGTGTGGGCTTCCACTTTAAACTCAATCTTTGATAACATTTTCTTCGAGTTGGCGTGCGGATAAATAACTACATAATTTGTTTGCGTTTTTTTAATAAATTAAAAAACCATCATCAAGTAAATAAAATACCTTCAGGTTTGTATCTTTTAAAAACAGACAAACGAGACTTTGCAACAGGTTGGCAGTCAGTAAACTAAAAAAATATTTATTTTCACAACCAAATATATGCCGTTTCCTTTTTATTCAAAGCGGCTAGAGATGTAAATTATGGTCAACAGTGAAACTACACGCCAACCCCTTTAAATCAATAGCAATTCGCTTTTCTCCTGTAAATTATACATTTTACTGGTTTCAAACCTTTCTCATCTTATTCATTTTTACTAAAATGTTATCACTATAGCAATTTACTAAGCGTAGTTTAGATGTGGCACAAATCCAAAAGTATGGAGCACCCAGTCAGAATCGAAATCACTGCCCAGTCTTTAATTAATCTAGTGAGACAAGCTTGATAACCATTACCATATCCAAGTGCCAAAATGTTATTTTATTACTATAGCAAACACATGTCCATTTACTGTCACTGTGTCATGTCCATAAAGAAATGCATAAATAACAAATTAGTTTCTAAAATAATTATAACAATTATAATTATCATTAATTCACTCTTTCTAAAACAATGAGAATCGACCCCAATTTTCTCCTCTACACATAAACTAAACACATGACATTCTCACTATCGGACAAACATTCAACACGTGTGTCAACGAAAATTTCGTCCCCTTTTCTTTTTTCAGGCCATAATGGAAACACTCAACAAAAATTCGAGTAAGAAAACTCCAGACACTAGTATTTTCCAACTAAATTATCTGGGCACTCATTACACACATCTAATTTAAAAAAAAAAAAAAAACAAAAAAACAAAAAACATACGAGGGCGACTGATTTACTTCTTTATCATTCTGTCGGATCCCAAACTACATTTGACCACGAACTCAGAATTTTACTCAGTATTACTGTATTACACTGTCTTTCGTATCTCCAACAGCATATAACAACCAGCTGATTAAATAATAATACATATTTTGTTGTTTCCACGTCTTGCTGTTTCTCATTTTTACGAGTATTTTTGTATATAGAGGATTTATAATTATTTACTCAGTGTTATAACTCCTCTACAATACGTTCATTTAAAATATTTAGAAGACTAGTGTTACTATGAAAACTTTGAAAAGAAACGGACATCCACAAAAATCAGCCTACACATACATACAAAAACTGTTTCAAAACGTAAAAATAAATAGCAGTTTTAAATGTTACAACAATTATTGCAAATTTATTTCCTGCATTTACTTGTATCCATAATCCATGTGACTATGACTAATTAATTCCTAACGCCACTACAAAAGTATTTTTTTTTAATGAACACTGTAGTGTAACACATCTTCATCTTTCTCATCTTATTGGCCTTTCTTCGGAGCTGAGATCGATTGACCTTGTTTTTGTCTTCAGGCAAAACAGGCCGCGTTAGTTTTTAAATTCTAATCTCCCCGCTCTCCGGTTTATTATTCTCGTGGAAACTTCCTAGAAACAAATATCAATAAAATGACAATTTTGCAAAAAAAGCAAAACCGATTTGATAACAGTTCTAAAACTTCAATCAGAATTCTTCATTCAATTCAAAAAATTCATACGTATCATAAATCAAAGACGTGTAAAATAGATAAATAAATATCATATGTCATCTCACCTCGTAAGAAGTTAAACAAGGAAGTTTTATTCCTTGGCAGAAGGAAGTAAGTGCTTCCTGAGTGTGAAACCAGGAAACCTCGACATTTTCGCAATCAGTTCAAAAAACGCACATAAATCCGTGGAGAAAAGAGAAACAATCGAAGAATTGAACTTTCTGATTTATTTCAAAATAAATTAAAAATCTCTTTGACCTTAAATTTCGGTTCTATTTGAATTTGAAGCTACAAAAAAGCTAATCCGAATTAAAAGAAATTAATTTCTGTATTTAAATAAACTTTTTAGGCATTTAAAAAAAAGTATTGCTTCATTTTTCGTAACTCATCGAGCCGCCATTGTAGATGAACAATAATATAAGCAAAATTTAAAATTCTCTTCAAAATCCTATATTTGTCTTAGAGAAGTTTCGAAATCAGTAGAAGACGATCAACTGTACTTTCTAGAAGTAATGATTACCTTTTACTTTTAAAACAATGAATATGACGTTTTATTTACGCACAGTAGGTTATGAGGTTAAATGACAAAATAAAAAACTCTGTAATTCCATGCACCCGAAAAAGTAAAAATAAAACCAAAAAAATACGGAAGACTAGCAGTGCAATAATCGAGAATTTCTTATTTATATTTAAAAATAAATTTTCTTTAACCTTATAAACCAATAGTTTAAAAATGTTCATTGTGACGAGGGGAACAATTTATGCAGGAAAAAAATAAAACAGATTTGTTTTTAAAATAATAAAAACTTTATGTTTAATTACTGAGGTATTGGATTGGTTATTCTTGTATATTGCAAAGAATCTGTAGTGTAAATGCAGAAAGACTGAGACATGCGTAAAAAAAAAAGCACACACAATCAAACAACTGTGCCAATGAATTGGA